TCACCCCTGCACCTCTGGTCTATACCCCAGCTCTTGTGCACATAAAAAAATAAATCTTCAAAAAAATATCAATGACAAAGGACTCATCTCCTTTGTTAACATTCCCAGAAAGCATCTGTGCTAGCTTTTCCCATAGTATCTCTGTGATTAAAACTCTAGGAATCAGATATGCTAGCACATTCTCTCATCCTTTTCTGCAGTTCCAGGTCTGGTTTGGGGGTTTTGCTTGGGTTTGGCATTAGCTGGTCTGTTCTGGGGGCATGCCTGCATCTTCCCTTCTTCTTTGAAACACCAGTGGCATAGTAATATGATAGCGTTCTGATGTGCCACACTGAGTAGTCCGTAATATGCTAACATTTCTGTATCATGTTAGTATTGCATGAAGCTAATATAACACTAATTCAAGATGACAGGGAAAATGACTAATACAATAAGACCTTCATCTAGTTCTCTAGGGATGTCACACGTGTCTGATTTAATTCGCCTGAAAACTCCCACGGACAGGCAGGGTAAAGGTGTAGTCAGGCCACTGAAAGTGAAGTAGCTGAGGAAGAGAGGCAACTGGATTATTGCTGCCTGCCTTTCAGCCCCTCTCAGCACCTCCACATCCTTGCTCTGGGACCCAACTAGGGAAAAGCGTTAAACACCAGTGGGTGGTTGACTGTGTTAGGTTTTGGATTAAGACAGACCTGGACCCAGGTCAAAGCTCTGCAAATGATTGCTCTTTGCCTTTTACTTAACTCTTTGGAGTTTCCTGTGAAAAATAATACAATGGCCTCATGGGACAAAGTTGAGGATTAAATCTGCACACAGCGTTCAAGACACAGTGGTGGGTGATGACGAGCCTCCATGATATCTCACTGGGAGCAGAGGCAATGACCTGGAAAAGCCTGTATCTGGAGATTTGCTTTAAAAAATTGTGGTAAAAATGTATCACATAAAATTTGTCATCTTAATCACTCCTAAATTTACAGTTCGGTAGCAGCAAGTATATTCACATTGTTGTGAAACATCTCCAGAAAGTCTTTGTCTGCAAAACTGAAATACTCATCCAACAATTCTCATTTCTCTTTCCCCCAGTCCCTGACAACCACCATTTTGTTTTTTATTTCTATGAATTTAACTCCTCTAGATACTTCATCTAATTGGAATTATACAGTATTTGTTTTTTGTTTTTTTTGTCACTGGCTTGTATCACTTAGTATAATGTCATCAAGTTTCATGCAACATGTTTTGGAATTTCCTTTCTTTTTTAAGGCTGAAGAGTATTCCATTGTATGTCTATACCATAGCCTGTTTATCCATTCATCTGTCCATGAACATTCAGGTTACTTCCACCTCTTGGCTATTGTGAATAATACTTCTATGAATATGGGTGTGCAGATATCTGAGACATGATTCTTTGGGAAATATATCCAGAAGCAGAATTACTGGATCATCTCTATTTTTAATTTTTTAAGGAGCCATGGTACTGTTTCCATAGAAGCTACACTATTTTATATTTCTATTTGTGTGCACACAGATTCTAACTTTTGCACATCCTTGCTGATGATTGTTACTTTCTGTGGTTTTGTTTTATTTTTTTTTAAGATTTATTTATGCATACAATACCTGGGGTACAGGCCAGAGATGCCGGGGGTGAGAGGATTCACCAGAGACAGAGCGGGGAAAAGAACAGGCAGACTGATGAAATACACTGCTGAGGGGAGCAGCGGGTGAGACAGGAGGGGTCTACTGCGCCATGTGGGTAGCTCCCTGGCCGGCTGAGGATCGAACTCGTGCTGCAGAGACTGCGGATTGCTTCATAGTGTGGAGCTTTACCCCTTGCGACACCAGGGAGGCCCAGTTTCTGTGTTTTTGGAAGTGGTCATCTCCATGGGGATGAGGTGGTATCTCATTATGGCTTTTCCCTTGTGATTAGTGCTATTGACTATCCTTGTTGATCATCTGTATGTCCTCTTTGGAGAAATATCTGCTCAAGTACTTTGCCCACTTTTAAACCTGGACTATTTGCTCCTTTTATTGTTGAGTTATAGGACTGCTTTATATATTCTGAATATTAACCCCTTATTAGATATACAATTTGCAAATATTTTCTCCCATTCTAAAGGCTGATTATATCCTTTCATGCACAAAATTTTAAAACCTTATTGTAGTCCACTTTGTCAATTTTTGCCTTTTTTTTTTTTGTTTTTTTTTTCGCTTGTGCTTGTGATGTCATATCCAGAAAATCCTTGCCAAATCCAATGTCATGAAACTTGACCCCTATGTTTTCTTCTAGGAGTTTTATAGTTTTAGAACTTATGTTTAGATCTTTGACCCATTTTGAGTTACTTTTTGTATATGGTGTAAGGTATGTATCCAATTTCCCCAGTACAATCAGTTGAAGAAACTGTTCTTTTCCCAATGATGGGCCTGGCACCCTTGTTGAAAGTCATTTGACCACACAGATAAGAATTTATTTTAGGGTTTTCTATTCTCTTTCATTGGTTTGTATGTCTGTACCACACTATTTTTTTCAGACTTGTATTCCTGTACCTGTAATAAGTCTTGAAATCAGTAAGTGTGAAACCTTCAAATTTGTTCTTCTTTTTCAAGATTGTTGTGACTTTTTGGGGGTTCTTTAAATTCCACATGAATTTCAAGATGGAGTTTTCTTTTTTTTTTTTAAAAAATTGAGATAACATTGGGTTATAGACTGTATATGACTTAAAGCTATAGGTTCATTCCTTTTCAGATGTAGTTACCACACCATGTCCACCAGCAAAGCACTAATAAAGTATGGGTTTTTCTGTTTATGCAAAACACCATTAAATATGGCTAGAGATTGCCTTGACTCGTAGATTGTATGAGATAGTAGTAACATCCTAGAATTTCCAATGAATGAACATAGGATGTTTTCCCATTTATTTGTGTCTTCTTTGTTTTCTTTTAGTAACATTTTGTTGTTTTCAGCATATAAATCTTTTGCCTCATTGCGTAAATCCATTCTTAAGCATTTAATTCTTTTCAGTGCTACTGCAAGTGGAATTGCCTTCTTAATTTCCTCTTAAGATTGTTCAAGAAGACTTTTCATTTTCTTAAACAGTGTTTAGTTTTACGAAATCATGTGGGCACATGAAAAAAATTCACTTGGCACCAGAACATATACCTGAAAAACAAGTCTTCCTCCAGACCTGATCCACAGGTCCAAGGTTCCAGTCCCAGGATCCATGATTCTTGCTTGTGACTCTTTCCAGAGATACACTGTATTGGTAGAGTCATTTTTATGAACAGATGGGGTTGTATGACACACTGTCCTGGACCCTGTATTTTTATCTTTTAGTATTTATTGGAGATAATTCTATAGGAGTATATCAGGAAACACCTCATTCTTTGTAAAGACTATCTACACTGTGGTTATATACCTTATCTTAAAAAAAAAAAAAACACATTTCCATAGTGAGAGACATTTAGATTGCTTCCAGATTTATTGGAAAGAATGTTTCAATGGGCATCTTTGAATACATGAATGAATATGCCTCCAGGATAAATTCTTTTTTTTTTTTTTTAGATTTGTTGTATTTATTATGCATAGAAGAACTGGGGTGCAGGCCAGAGGTGCAGGGGGCAGGTGAGAGGATTCACCAGAGACAGAGTGGGGAGCAGAACAGGCATGTCTACTGAAATACACTGCTGAGGGGAGCAGCGGGGAGACAGGAGAGGTCTGCTGTGCCATGTGGGTCACCCCCCTGGCTGGGGATCGAACTCATGCTGCAATGGCTGGCGGTAGCTTGATAGCACTGAGGCTTTAACCCCTGCGCCACCAGGGAGGCCCCTATGATAAATTCTTGAATGTGTTTTTGGAATGGCACTTGCTGGATCCAGATTATGTATGTGGAAAGTTTTGGGAGATGGTTTGGAGTTTGTGCCGACTTCATTTCTGTTGCTAGTATAGGATCGAGATTCCCCACATCTTTGACAACATTTTGTTGTTTGCTAATTGGACAGATTCAAATAATTTTTATTCAAATAACTTTTGATGGCTTGATTTATATTTCCGTAAACATGAATTATATGTGGTATCTTTTAAAAAGGCATTTCCTTCCTGGGGAACCATATTGCTTATCTCACAACATTTTATTTATTGAATTGTTGACTTTTTTCTCACTAACTTGTAAAACTTCCTTATAAAATTAGCCCTTTGTCATATAGCTCACAAACCCTTTTTTCCTTTTACTTTGTTTTTGGTGACTATTTCATTATGGAGCATTTTGTGTTTTCACAGAATCAAATTTGCAGTTTTAAAAATCAAACAATATTTCTTTGTGGATTTGGAGTTCTAAATAATGCTTAGAGGAGTCTTTTCTATTCCAAAATAAAATGAAAGGTTATCCTGTGTTTTTCTCCAAATGTTTTCACTTTATTTTTTATGTTTAAATGATTGATCTGTTTTAACATTGATTTTGGGGTAAGAAGTGAATTAGGGACTGGCTCCCCTCCCCACCACTAGTGAGTTGTCATAATCCTTTTTATTAAAAAGATCCTATTTTTCTCCACTGATTGCAATGCTACTTTTGTCACATAGTACATTTCCCTAGGTATTTAGTTCATTTCTAGACTCACTCTTCTTTTGTCTGTTTAGTGCATCTGGACCAAATTATTTTAATTACTACGGCTTTAGAGTTCCCAAGAATGAGTCTTACTCATTTGAGAATATTCTATTGCATGTTATTGAGATTATACAAAATATGTAGGTTGATTTAGGGTGAGGTGACATCTTTACAATACTTGAACCTCCTTCCAAGAACAGAGTTGTTTTCCATTCATTTGTTCCATGTCTCTCAGTGATGCCTTAATATTTTCTTTTAGTTTATGTACCTCTTTATGTTTATTCCTAGGTATTTCATCTTTTTAAACTACTTATAAATGAGATTTCCCCCCTTTTCATTATATGTTCTAATTGGATTACCTGTATATAGAAAGCTATTGTTATTGGCATATAAAATTTAAATACTCACTTTATTGAGGTCGCATTTATTTTTTTTCCAATAGTCTTTCAATTCATTCTCTTGGGTTTCATAGATCTACAATCACAGAAGATACAAATAATCATGATTTTGCCTTTTTAGTTTTAACTACCACATTTTGTGGCTTGCTAAAGCATCGAACAATGTTACGTAGTGATGGTATCTTATTTTATTCTGGACATTTATGGGAAACATTTGATACTTCATGATTATACATTGTGATGACTTCTTCATATGTATGTTTTAAATATCATATTAAAGATGTATCTGTTTCTTTATATTTTAATAAAGAGTTTATTTTTTTTCAACTAAGACTGAATGCTGTTCTTATCCAGTACCTTTACTAGCATCTTTGGAGATGATTATATCATTCTTCTCTGTGGACATGTGACTCTTGTGAGGCCCTGATGTTGAAATCTTTGCATTTTAAATCTTGGTATATTATTCTTTTAGTGCTGCCAAATCCTAAGTGCTGATATTTTATTCAGGATTTTGCATTACTATTCATAAGTGAGATTTACTCTGTATTTTTTTTTTATTATGCTATCTTTGTCAGATTTTGGTATCAAAGTTTTGCTGGCTTTGTAAAAAGAACTTGGAAATAATCTTTTAAGACTCTGAACAGTGGAAGCAGTTGCACTGTTATCTGTTCTGTGATGGTTTGGTAATTTTCATTTGTGAAACCATTTGAATAACTTCTACATTTTGGGTTCTTCAATTCCTTTTTGCATTACTTCTAAAACAGGGTATTTAGATTCTTACCTCTTCCTGGGTCAGGTGTGGTTATATTTTTCTAGGAAATTATTTCATCCCGGTGTTCTACTTTACATGAAATTAGTCTTGATTATGATTCTTGGAATTATCTTTTATTATTTCTCTATCATCACATGGTATTTTGTACCTAGTTTCTTTTCTTCTTTGTTTCATTATTAGATTTGGTAATAGTGTACACATTTTATTATTTTTTTCCCCAAGGATTCATTCACTTTTTGTTTTCGAACAGTAATTTTTGCTTCCGTATTTACTTATTCCTTCTCTTTGATTCCCTTAGATTCATTTTATTGTGCTTTTAAACTCTAGAAGCATATTTAGCTTATTTTTATTCTTTCTTGTTTAACTATATGTTATTTTAAGCTGTGATTTTCCTTTTGAATGTTGCTTTTGTTTTATTACATAGTTTCTGTTGCAGTTTTTTCACAGTTTTTATCTGGATTTCTTCAGTCCCCAAATTGTTTAAGATGAGATTTAATACTTTTCCAGCTGCAGTGTATTTGTTATTTATTGCATTCTTAATGATTTCTAGTCTTATTGCTTTGTAATTAGAGTATTCTCTCCAAGCTTTTATTCTTATGGTAAAATACACATAATATTTGACTGTTTTTAACCATTTTCAGTGCATAGTCCTGCGGCATTAAGCACATCTCTGTGCGACCATCTGCGTGATCCAGCCCCCAGACCCTTTCCAGCTTCCCCAGTGCAACTGTCCCCATGGAACACTAGCTCCCCAGTCTCTCTGAGGTGTTTCTAATCTTGAACATTTTTTTACTCGTGGCCTTACAGATAGTCATTTTGAAATAGGTTCATTTTTACCTGGAATGCCTTCTCCATCCTTTCTTCCAATCTTTCTGAGAGCTTTGTTTTAGATTCATATCTTATATAGAATACATAGTGCACATCACCCAGGCATTCCATCTTAGCCTATGGTCTCCCAGATCCGGACACCAGGATTCTAGGGCAGACAATGTAATTGGGAGGCGACCCCAGGAGACATCGAAAGGAAAGTAGAGTCAGGGGAGGAGGCAGGCACTAGTCACTTACTTCTCAGCCCCACTAGGCATCTCTGGAAGATGGTGCTATCACCCCCTCTGCATGGTCTGCCCAAGGGGCGAGGACCTGGGTTATTCATCCTCCACTCCCAGTCTTCACTGGCTGAGGGCTACTCCCTGCTGCTCCACCCTGGTGTGGATTGAACACATTCAGCCAAAGAGCCACCACTGCAGTCACAGATGCTTGGAGGTAGAAACCACTGGGCCCTATGAATGAGGAGCACTGGGGAGCTAGGACCCTGACAGCACCCTCCAGGAAAGGTGACACTGGGTGATGGGTGCTCTGGAATGCTTAGGAAACTGTGCTGGGAATATTGTCAGAGATACAGAGGTCCCGGCTTCTTTTTTTTTTTTTTTAATTTATGTTATTGTTTTCACTTCTGCAGCCAATGAAAACTTATGAATAGGAATTTGTTTTCTTTTCCCAGAGGGGACTGGTGTCAGCACCAAGACACGGGAGCTGGCTCAGAAGAGAGTGGATGCAGGTAGGTTGTGGATGGGAAGCATAAGGAAGACTGATAGAGCCCAGGACAGATGGACAGACTTTCTGATGCCACATTCTGATGCCCAACCTAACAGATGACAATTAGCAGTCACCAGCTGTAAAGTGACTGTAAATGCTGCTCTGAATAAAATGAGCCTTTTTTTGGGTTGCATTTAGCAAAACATTTAAAAATCCAACAACGAATGTTTGTTGGCAGCCCAGAGGCTGTGTGGCACTGAGGAGGAGCTGATTATTTGCCATGGATGAGGGCTTCTCTTCCTCTCCAGTTAGAACAAGAAGCTTTGGTTTGAAAGGAGGGAGGTGGGTCCATTCAGAGTTGCTGCTTCCTTGACCTGACCTTGAATGAGCTGCCTGGCCTTGAACAAGGCTGTCTGACCTTGAACAAGTGTGCTTTGCTTTATCTCTTTGGCCTTCAGTTCAGTATCTGTAACTGGTCCCCCTACTTCCCTTCTTGGCCACCCCCAACTCCCACCTGTGTCCATTCTTTTTTTTTTTTAAGATTTATTTATTTACGCATACAAGAGTTGGGGTACAGGCCAGAGGTGTGGGGGGTGAGAGGATTCACCAGAAACAGAGTGGGGAGCAGAACAGGCAGATCCACTGAAATACACTGCTGAGGGGAGCAGCGGGCGAGACAGGAGAGGTCTGCTGCACCATGTGGGTAGCTCCCTGGCCGGGCATGGAACTCGTACAGCAGAGGCTGTCAATAGCTTGATAGCACTGAGACTTTAACTCCTGTGCCACCAGGGAGGCCGTGTCCATACTTTACATAATGTTGAGGAGTTGTCTTTCAAAACTGTAAATTTGTTTGAACCAATCTCCTGCTTAAAAAAATCTCAAATGTCAGCTCATAGCAATGCGGTAGGAGTGAAACCCTAACTCCTCATGGGATGCAGAAACACGCCATAAGTGGTGTGCTTGGGATGCTCGGGAAGCTGGGTCAGGAGTATTGTCAGAGATACATAGGTCCTTTTCTTTTCTTTTCCAATTCATGCTACTGTTTCACTTCTGCCCCCAATGAAAACTTATGAATAGGAATTTGTCTGACACCCTCTGCTTCTCCAGTTGCAGCTTTCACCCCCCGCCCCTATTACTCAGGTGCAGCCACCCTGTCATGAACCAGGACGGTTTCTGAACTTGAGACCTTTGCAGTTACTCTTCCTTCAGCTAAGCACTCTTTCCGTGGAGACCACGGAGTCTCCTCATCATCCAGGTTGCTGCCCAAATACTACATTCTCCCCTGACCACCCCCTCCCTGTTCACAGGAGCTCCCAGCCCCCATCCATTCTCTGCGCCTGAACTCAATTTTCTTTTGTTTTACTCTCCACTATTGAATTCATGGTCTTTCGCCTCTGCCCTCTTTACCTCCACGCCCACACACACTTCTCTCAAAAAGAGCAGGCGCCGGAGGAAGCGATTACCACTGCATGTCACATGTCCTAGGAGTTAAACATGGCAACCAACAAAATGACTCTAACGCTCTTCTCACCTGGGCACTGGCTGTGTAGATCCAAAATGTTCCTCTGGGCAGGTGCTGTGCTGTTTTCACGCACGTGTCTTCAGGCTTAGTTTCACACGCATGCTTTCTTCCAGGGTTAGAATGGTTCAAAATCCTACACATTTCTTCAGAGCATCCCAAGTGAGGAGAGGAAGTACCAGACCAAGCATTTTGCCACACAGTCCTTTCTAGAATAAAAACACTAGTTATTACAACATCTGTTTTCTAAAAAATTAATTAATAATTTTTTCCCCTTACATCACTGTAGTCTCCATAGTTCTCCCGCCACCCTGGCACCCGTGAGCCATCACCATACTCCCCTGTGTTCACCCCGTGCCTATTCTGTGCCCCCTCCCGTCCCCTCCTATTTGGATGCCTCAGTCTATGGTCAGCTTGCTTGCTTGGGCTTTTTCTTCACCCTCTGTTTGGTGTCTCTATATTTCACATATAAATGAGACCACACAGGATTTATCTTTTTCCATCTGACTAATTTGGGTTAGTCATCCCTTCCAGATCCACCTATGTTGCCACAAATGGCACACGTTTGTCTCTTCTGATTGCTCAGTAATATTCTATTATATAAATATACCAAAAGCTTCTGATTCATTCATCTATTTCGGGACATTTGGGTTGTTTACATATCTTGGTGATTGTAAATAGTGCTGGAGTAAACACAAGAGTGCAGGTTTCCTATCAAATTAGAGTTTTTGTAGGATGCATGTATTGTGTGTGTGTTTTTTTTAAGATTTATTTATTTATGCAGACAAGAGCTGGGGTACAGGCCAGAGGTGTGGGGGGTGAGAGGATTCACCAGAGACAGTGGGGAGCAGAACAGGCAGACAGACTGAAATCCACTGCTGAGGGGAGCAGCGGGGAGACAGGAGAGGTCTGCTGCGCCATGTGGGTCAGTTCCCTGGCTGGGGATCGAACTCGTGCTGCAGTGGCTGCGGATAGCTTCATAGGTTGTGTCTTAAGCCCTTGAACCACTAGGGAGGCCCAGTAGGACGCATGTTTTATAGTTGCAGTTGACACTAGCCTGCCCCTCATGCTCACCCCTCTCCATCCACACCAGCCTGACTTCCATCCGCCACCACTTACATTTTTTCACATGTGAACTAGCTCTGACTTTAGACTTTCTTTGATCACTGAATGCAAGTGGCACACGGTCCCTGCCAGGACCAGCCCTAACCAGGGGCTGATGGGAATTGGGAGACAAGTACCCTAGCTCCCTCCCTGTCCACCTGGGCAAACTCGGGTCTGCCTTTCAGTCCCTGTTGGGGCTGAGCTCCACTTCCCCACAGCAGTAACTGGTTTGGGATTGCTTCCTAATCCACACCCTTTATCCCCTCACTCACTTCTTACTCACATACCTGTGTTTAGAGGGAGCAACCCCCCAATAGACATCTTGAATTTGAATCCATTTCACAGGGCTTGTTTCTAGAGTAACTCAACTAAGACAACATTATCATTCTGGGTGTATTGCCCATGCTAAGAGGCATACACCACCCTTGCTCTTGTGTTATGCAGTTTGCCTTTTTCAGCCATCACCAAACTGTACCAGCACATAAAATCTACCGCATTTCTTTGAACAATAAGATTCTCTTGGGCCTCCCCGGTGGCACAGCGGTTGAGCACTGGGTTGCGAAGCTGCCCGCAGCCTCTGAAGCACCGGTTCGATTCCTGGCTGCTCCCCGGCCACCGGCGAGTGTCCCACATGGCGCGCAGACCTCCCCTGCCGCCCGCTGCTCCCCTCAGCAGTGTACTTCGGTCCTTCTGCCTGCTCTGCTCCCTGCTCTGGTCTGGTGAATTCTCTCACCCTCCCGCACTTCTGACTGTACCCAGTGCTTGTATGAATACATAAATAAATCTTAAAAAAAAAAAAAGATTCTCTTACTTCTAATTAGCTTGGGGTTTTAAAATGGTATATTATAATTTATCCTGGTTTTCTTGGGACCCACAATGGCTGCAGGCTACCTGGGCTCTGTCATCTTAGCTCTGGCAACATTCGGGTGGGCTGTCCTGTGTATGGTGGGCATTTAGCAGCACCCTCCACCTGCTAGTTACCTGTAGTTCACTCCCAGGTGTGACATCCAGAAATGGCTTCAGAATTGCCAAATGTTGCTTGGGCAGAAAATGGCTCTTGGTTCAGAGCAATTTCCAGTTCTATCCAAAGCTAGCGCTGTGTAGTTCAGTCATGCCTTCTTGGAGTGAGATTACATCTTCAACAGAAAAGTGACAGACACAGAAATCGTACACAAGAATGCTGAGGAAACATTTCCTGCCTCTGGCATGCCACTTGGTGTCGTCGCTCCGGGATTTGTATCACACTTAGCTTAGCTGGAACTGTTTTCCAGGTTTCCTTACCGTGTGCGGCTCTGGGTCAGGAGAGGCCTTGAGCCACACCGGTGTGAGATCTGGAAGATGGAAGTGAATGGCCACACTGTTTCCATCAAAGTGGAAGCAGGTGCTGTTGTAGCTCACGCTGGATGGCTGCCTTCAGGGTGGCTTTAGGGTGTGTCTTAGCAGCGGGGCCTGCAGCTCCTCCCATCAGCTCTCCCCTCAGCTTCTGATTCCTGGATCAGACTTGTGTTCTCCTGCAGGGGACTCAATTCAGTGATGCTGGAAGTTGTGAGAGACCCATGTGGGCGCCATGAGAACCAGAACACAGGTCTGAGTCTTCCTCAACCTTCCAGAATGTTCTTCTGGCTCCATTCTGGCTTTATTCATCCTCATGTCACACCCATCTTCCCTTTGTGATGGCAGACTTCAGGACCAGGCACAGAGCAACACGCCTTCAGGGACTCCCGTGAACTGTGATCACCAAGGACCCAACCTCCATCCAAACCTGTCCTGTCACTCACGGGTGCTCTGCTTCTCTGGTGGAAACCAAGGTGGTTCCCTTGGGTCTTCAGGGACATCCTGGCTGAGAAATGACACGTTCAAAGATTGCTCAAGAGGGAGCTGACAAAGCCATTTTAATACAGCTTTGGGGGTTTTGCTCCTTTTTGTCCCATTCCCTGGGAACCATCAGAGGAAGGAAAATGGATTCTTGGCTCTCTTCCTCTTTCTAAAATTCACTGCAGCTGCTGTCCTGAGGCACCAGGAGCCCTTAATCTGGACTCGCCAGCACTACATGGTGGGAGAATCAAGAGAGGATCCACCACCTGGCAAGAATTCCCTCCTGAAACTCAGGCCAAGTCTCTCCAAACTTAACATTCAGAAGTGTCTGTCTCATTCGAAGGTACAGACCCTCCTGTCTCCCCCCAATTTATTCAGCACCACATCCGCCTCCTTGTGCAGGTGTCCTGAGCCTGGCACACAAAGGGTTAATTTCCCCAACTGCCTGTGGACTTTATGGGTTATTCCATATTTATTTCAATTATATAAGTATACTGGGCCAGTGTATTTATTTTAAATCACATTATCTACAGCTTCCCAAGCATGTGTCAACAAAAAGAACGGTTTCAATTTAGTAGACTTTGAAATGGTGTGCAGTTTATCCTCACTTCAATTATCCCCTCTACAGTAAGTCATGGACAGCTTCAGGATTATTCAGGGCAAGGTAATGCTATCTGAAAGCATTGATTTTTCCCTCTTCTTTAAGAACAGTTCACTGAAGGATGCACTGGAGTCTCCTTTAAGGAAACATAAAAATACATTTCTCAGCTGAACCTTCTGAGAAATCTCAATCTTGAGGCTCTGGATGAGGCTGCTGGAGAAGTTTCTAGCCTATAAAGAAAGCTGGTTGCAAAGGAATGAGCAGAGCGGAATCATGTTTCTTGGCTTGACATGATGGGAGATGGATGGCACAAAGGAAGAGGAGCATGTCAGACAGCTTCTGCATGATCTGATGACAAACATTTATCAGGAACCTTCTATGTGCCAAGTAGGGGAGATGGTCGTGAGCAGTACTGACCTGAGCCAGCTTCATGGACAGGTGACTGGTGCCATTGTCCGGGACCACACACGTAGTAGGCCTCTGTGCTTAGTTTACTATTCTACTATCACTGTCTTGAAATTCTTACTACTTTTCAAATGAGAGGCCCCACATTTTCATTTCACACTGGGCCCTGAAAAGTAGGTAGCCAATTCTAATAACTACACAGTCATTTTCACTTCTGTTCTCAGGGAGCTTGGAGCTGAGTTGGGGACGGCATAGGAGTTAATGACATAAGCTCTCACTTCAATTGTGATGGGGGCTATGGGGGTAGTAGAGTGTGCTTATAGCTATGTAACAGAGGGACTTCATGGTTTGGAATCCAAAAAGGAAAGAATTTAAGCCAACACTTGAAGACAGGCTATACAAGCACAGTGAACTCTAGGGAGATCGTTCAGGCAGGAAGGAGGTTGGCCTGGCAGAGTCAGAGAGGAGCATGCAGTGAACACAGGAGCAGGACAGGGCTCCCCCTTTGGCAAGGGCACCAAGATCTGGAGGTACAATGGTCATATTTATAGATTTTCCCAGTTGGCCACTTGAGGTGACCCATAGATTCTTTTCTGTTGGTGACCTCATTACTGCAATCTGATCCACGAATTCATGTAGTCTCCCTGAATATTGCAGGGGTTTCTTTTTGAGGGGGTGTATGTTTCATAAATACCTCAGTCTCTCAAAACATTATTTGTTCTCTTACTTAACTTTAAATAATAAATAATCATTACTGAACATCTATTAAATAATCCAGAATGAAGATGTCATCCACAAACACATCCAAAGCTTGGGCAGCATTGATGTGTATATTCTGAGCAATGTTTGTAAATTCATTATACTCTGTGTGTTGAGTAAACCATTTAATTCTAGTTTGTTCCTTATCTACCTCTTTGACATTTAAAAGTACTTTCCTACTACATCAAACTAGAAAGCTTCTGCGCAGCAAAAGAAACTATCCCTGAAACAAAAAAGACACCCTACTGAATGTGAGAAAATATTTGCACAACATACATCTGACAAGGGGCAACATCCAAGATCTACAAAGAACTCACAAACTCAATAGAAGCAAAGAACCCAACCAGAAAACGGGCAGTTGAGTTAAACAGACACTTATCCAAAGGAGACGTACAGATGGCCGAGGGGCATGGGAAAAAATCTTCAGCATCCCTCATCATCAGGGAAAAGCAAATCACCACCACCACAAGGTACCACTTAATTTCTGTGTGAATGGCCCATGACAACAATAAGACAAAAGAAAACACAGAAACAACATATGTTGGTGAGGTATGGAGAAAAAAGGAGCTCGCTCTTGGTGAAGATGTCAACTGGTCCAGGCTTTCTGGAAAACAGTATGTAGTTTCCTCCAAATACTAAAAATAGGTATACCATATGACCCAGAGATTCCACTCCTAGAACACGCCTTTGGAGCCAAGCAATACAACATCACTAGTCGGACAGGGTATAGGCACTCCAACATCCATTGCAGCGCTGTTTACAATAGCCAAGTTATGAAAACAACCTAAGTGTCCAATGACAGAGCCGTGGATTAGGAAGATGTGGTCTATATACCACTCAGCTATACAAAGAGATGACCTTTAATCATTTGCAACGACGTGAATGGAACAGGAACAGAGTATGTTAAGTGCAATAAATCAGAAGGAGAAAGACACATACCAGATGATTTCATTCATCTATGGAATATAAAGAAAAAAAATACAAGGGAATTGACAAAACTAAACCAAAACAAACCCTAAACATATGACCCCATGACCACAGAATTGACATTACTAGACGGAGATCTAGGGGAAGGGCCAATGATCCAGGGTAAACGGCTGTGGGTATGGGGAGGTGTGATGCTATAGCCTCAATCATAGACAGTAAGCCAGTTGTCTTAGAAATCATAAAACAAAATAAAGGCAGGACTTCCCTGGACCTTGGTTTTCTAGAATTTGGTGAACCTCCTGCTCACCTGGGTGATGATTTTACAGAATTGCTCCTCTTTCATCTCTCTTCTTTCAAAGCTGTGGAGAACATTTCTATTCAAGTCTCTTCACAGGTGAGTGGAGAACTTCACACTCTGCACTGGGGAAAAATTGAAATCCATTGTACATTAGAAAGTTTACTTGGCTGAAACATTTGCAATTTGAGGTCTTGGAGCAGAGTGAAACTGGAAGTGCTGTGGGGAAAAAAAAAAGAACTTCCAGCGATGAGACTCAAGCACACGTTTTAAATAAATCACATTTTAAAGGACAGTCCATATGTTTGCTGAATCGATTTATCTGGACAGACAGAAGAAAAATGTATAATGAAAGAATAGAAAATTCTACACATGAGCCTCATCTGGTGATGTTTTTTGCAATGGTTTCTTCTCATCTCCCTTTTGCGCCTGGTTAACAATTTGAAGTCGACTTGATTGGGAATCATTAGCATAGGAAATAACTTTGGATTCAGTGACCGTAGCTGGATTAAAAAGTGCTTTATCTCTTTTAGTCTACTAAAGGGAGTTGCATTTATGGATTTTCCAATATGAAACTATTCTTGTAGTTACGGGCTGAATCCATTTGGGTTGTGGTTGTGTTTAAAAAAATATTTATCTATTTGTTTATTTACTAATACCATTCAAATTGCATTTCAGTGTGAAATTCAGTGCATTTAGCACCTTGATAATGTTGTACAACCATTCCCAGAACTGTTTAGTTATCCCAAATGGAAACTCTGTCCATTAAACAAGAGCTCTCCACGGTCCTTTCCACACCCTTGGTAACCTACATTCTTCTTTCTGGCTAGATGAATTTGCCTTATCACAGAAGTTCCACAATCTATGTCCTCTGTGTCTGGCTTATTTCACCTAGCATATTTTTTCAAGGTTTACCCATGTGTAATGTGTATAATAGTTTCATTCTTTTTGAAGGCTGAATAATGTTCCATTTGGACTATACATTCATCTGTTGATGAACATTTGGGTTGACTTTACCTTTCAGCTAATATGAATAATGCAGGCAGCAGGATTTCGACTTGGAAAAGAAATAAGTGTGCTGGCCTTCCTGCAGTTTGTGGTTGCTTTCTCATCCTCGTCCTCAGTATGGCTACCTAAAGGGAATCCTGTGACCTTGGTCACAGCAGATGCGCTAGCCTAGTGCTTAAGCCTTTGGTGTTGGTATCAGATCAATCCTGATTATATCACTCTCAAGAAATGGGTCCTTTGGTAAACTTCTCAACCTCCCAAAGCCTTGGCTGTCTCATTTGTGGGAGGGAGGTGATGACACCTACCGGGGAAGGTGACTGCAGGAATTAAGTTTGTGTTTGAAAAGCCCTTGTTTCAGTCGGGTGTCTGCTGAGAACTCAACAGCACAAAAAGCACTCAGTAAAGCTGGCCAGGATGTGGCGATAAAGGAATCCTCTTACACGGCTGGTGGGAAAGTAAACTAGCCCAGCCACTGTGGAAAGCTGTGTGGAGGTTCCTCAAAACATTAAAAAACGGATCTACCGTATGATCCAGCAATTCCACTCCTAGGAATCTACCCAAAGGACACAAAAACACTAATTTAACAGGAAACCTTCACTCTTATGTTTATTGCAGCCCTATTTCCAATAGCTAAGATATGGAAACAAACCCAAATACCCCAAAACAGATGAGTAGATAAAGAAAATGTGGTCTATATGCAAAATAGAATATTACTCAGCAATCAAAAAAGATGAATTCATGCCATTCACAACAACGTGGATGGAGCTGGAAGGGATTGTACTAGCTGAAAAAAGGAAAGAAAATATTGGATGGTCTCACATATATACGGAATGTAGAAAAACCAAACAAAGGGCCAAGGAAAAGACAAAACCAGCAAGTTGACCATAGGTCTGAGGCATATATCAAGAGAGGGGGAGGGGCAGGGTATCAAAACAGGGAGGGAAGAGCACAAGGGACTGTGGTGATGGTTCACGGGTGATATGGTGGCAGGAGACCTACGGGCACCGCATCTGAGGTGAGAAACCAATTACTGTACAAATACGAACAGTGGTGTAAGAAGATTAAACATAAAGTACTCAGTGAACAGATTGTCATTACTTATAAGAGTGAGCAGAGCCCTGTAGGGGGAGAAACCTTCCCCACGGGCGCCCCCATACAAAGTGAGAAGATAGAGAAACTTAAGAGCCTCAAAGTGGGATGGGAACACAGTAGAATCTTGAACATCTGATTATTGCAAATTCACAGGCTCCAACCTGGATGCACTGAATAGGAATCTCCAGGGAGAGTCTTGGAAATAAACATTAAACAAATCTGAGCTGGTTTTGAGGCACTGTCATGCTTAGGGACCTCTTCCCTGTGCCCTCATATCTTAATACTCTGGGTGGTTTGTAAATATCTACACACCCAGTGATTGATTTAGGGCCTGGATAGACTAGATCTATGTTTTATCTTGGTTTAAGAATTTGGGACGGAGGAGGGAACCATTAATATTTCAGAAACCCATAGTTTTTTGGAAAAGGAAACTTTCCTCTCAAAAAAGTAATTATGGAAATGTCATAAAAAGGTGAAAGATTTTCGAGGAGAGTCAGACATAAAAATTACATTTTGCAAATTGTACTTGGAAAGAATTATTTTAATTGAAGTAGCTGTTCCCAAGCCTGAATCTTGTCCATGCCTGTAACCTCAGAATGTTCAGTTCATCCTGTCAACTACTTTCTCTGCTGATATGGCCTAAATATGCCACTTATGTAAGAACTACTTAACAGGAACTACTTGGGGACCAAGTATCAATATGAGAACACCGAAAGGTGAATCTGCAGAGCATTTAGTAACCATGGTGAGTCAGCAGGCAGATAATTTGGGGGCCCAGGAAATAGTTCACACTTCCTTCTTGGTGTCAAAGTCTATCTTTCTGAAGAGGAAAATGTCTCTCCAGTAGGCCTGAGGGCAGTCCTACGAGTTGGGTTAATCCACACATTCACCCATTCACTGCACAAGTGTTTGTGAAGTGCCCGCTGTGTGCTAGGCATTGTGGGGCAAGGAATGGATTGGTGAAACACACCAAAATAATCCTACAAAGCTAGAGCTTTTATGGCAGGCAAAGGACAGACTTTGTGTAATTGCGAGGGTGAATCACGTTCCAGAGAGAGAAGGAGGGAGAGCTGTGGAGTGTGAGCCAACGCC